TATATGCTCGTGTACTAATTTAAAATTTATAGTTGCTGTTAAAAGAAGTATAAAATCGATCATACAGTTTCAATACAACGTTGTTTTTTTTCTACTATGTCAGTTAGTAAAGTTAAAATTGTACCCAGATTTTAAGATAATGAATCCAGAAAGGTAAGATATTTTAAAATAAATATTCATTTTCACATGTATACGTCAACTAGGAAGCGTTTTTGTAATTTTCCCTAAATTATTTTGTTTGCCATTTAGAAAAAATAGTATTTTCGCGATACGTGTCGTAAATTCACTAAATGTAATAAGCTCATTTTTTATGACGTGTCGTAAACATAATGAATGACATGTCGTAAATTGAGTTTACGACGTAAATGACACGCCCATCCCTGTTCACCCGCCAGGGTGCGGATGTATAGCGCACTAGCATACCTTCTTCTAGACTCGCAGCTGTTGCTCCAGCTGACGTCCCTTTTAGACACCGTCACCTAATCTTTGGCACGTGATGTGCGACATGACGTTGGACTTGGTATTGTTACTTTATAAGAATACACAGGCTTAAGAGCCAAGGGTGATGGAACTCATGGAACACGATGGAGCGAAGAGCGGAGCGTAAAACGGCGGCAATGGCTTGTGGCTGCGCGTCGACTGCTTGATAACCGCGCATGTGACCCAAGGATGATCGAAAATCTAAACCCACCGCAACTCTCACTATAATTGAGGAACCTTATGATACATGGATTTACAAATTAATTTTATCATATTTCATTTTGGTAAAGAGTTATGTAGTGAATAAAGTCATGTCATGTCAATTTTATAAACCAGCCGCAACATAAACCAACATATAGAAAAAAAAATGTTTTTTCCCTAAAGTGCCATTTGCGGCAAGATTAAAATTTATCTTCTACTCGAAATTTGACCTCCAAAAAATGAATCTACGGTCGATTTTCAAGTAAAAGATAAATATTAATCTTGCCGCAAATGGCACTTTCTGAACCAATTTTTTATATACTATCTGTTGGTTAAAATTGCGGTTGGTTTATAAAATTGATTATATGGTACTTCTGCATTACTTTAATTACTACATAACTCTTTACCAAAATGAAATATGACAAAAATATTTACAGTCTCAACAAATCATAATGTATCTCAATTTTGATACAAGTGGCGGCTGGTTTAAATTTTTGACTACCCTCGGGCCTCAGCTCTGCTGCAAGTATACGTAATACTCATTAAAAAATATATGATTGGCGCATCCACATGTCGGTTCGCGTTCCTGTGCTTCGTTCATCGAACTCTCTTATTTTGCACCATATATATTTTATAGCTTTACCTATAACCGCCTGCACCGCATTGACCGAATTAGTATCCGTGGTTCCGTGGAATCGCCGGTAAGTACATACACCTGTGGACCTGTATCGTATATATTGTTTGTATGTGTGTGCAAATTTGCGTAAAAGCGTTTAAACATTAAAGACTTGGTTGAAATTCGTTGCGGTTGTTGTTTCTAAAAACGGAGACTGTAAGTTTGGCTTTGTAGTGCCAAGTTTTGTTCATTTGATAACTCGTGGAAGTGTGCGAATGTACAGTCAGTGACCGAAGAACTCGTATTTTGTTTCTTTCGCCCTCTAGTTATACCTACGAACAAAACGTTAGTTGTTGCAGAATGGAATAAACAGGAAAGTAACGAGACAACGTTATCTTGGGTTATGTTGGAAAAGTACATTCTGCATTAAGATTAAAAGAAACACGAACTTTCCGTGTACTTTTGCAAGGGGAAATTTTATTTATCTCCTAGTAACCTAGCAATCGTTCTGTACGAGTGTGTTGAGAGTTATCGAGTTGCTTGCTATTTTCAAACAATTCTTCCGAAAGAGGCTTTTTGTTCTTGAAGAAAGTAAGTAAAAAACCCGTCATCTCGGTTGTATGCCGCAGTCAAACAAAATAAATAAATCTCAAATTACAGGCATCAACGCGGGAGAATCAAAAGTTTGAAACCTCTAATGTATAGGAACGAATGAGAAAGGAGGAAGATGTTACCTCGTGCAAACGTAAAAATGACTCATGGATTGCAACAACGCGAGAGAGAGAGAGAGGAGTACCTGCAGTCATCATAATTAATCATCCTTGCACTTGGACCAACTGGCCGTCATTCTTCGTGAACCTGAACCTTCTCGTGTAAGTACATAAGTAACGGGCAAACGCTAGACAGTGTGTCTATCTACGTGAAAACCGGTAGTAGGTCATAAGGAGATTTTATCCCCGTGTTTTGTGTACTTATTTACAGCGTGGAATGTATATATCGTTCATCTTCTCTGCACCCGTTTGATACTGTACACCTTCTTCAAAGTTTTCCCCTACACCGGAGAGATAAGACTACCGTGGTAGAAAGAAAGGGGAGATAAGAGAGTCCGCGCGGAATTTCCGAATTGCAATGCCTCCCTCCCACAAGCCATGCGTAAGTTTGAGCATTTGCCATATCTTTCTCCCTACATCCTTTCGTTCGTTCTCTTTCTCAATAATAAATAGCAACAAAAGTTTACTAACAAAACCTCCCAGGCCTTCATAACCTCAACTCCAAGACCGTAACAACACTGTTTAACAGAGAGCTCGTGAGAAAAATCGCTTCGAGAATGTTAATTCTTTTTTTTGACTCATGAATGATCGCGCTCTCCTTTCTTTTAAATCATACAAGTGCATCAGGGACTTATGGTCAAGAAAAAGGAACAGGGGACGTTCATGCATGCGTACTTTACTTGATTTCGGGTGCGAGATCCATACCACACAACAGGACTTTGATTTAGTCATGCACCTGCTTGTCATCTCATCTCACTCATTGATTTACTATTATATAAATATCGTGTTAACTCATGTTACCTACTCTACCAAACGCATTTTCCGTAGCTTTGCTTTTGATGGCACGTAAATGTATTTGTTTTTTTTTAATTTTTAAATAAATTTCGGCTTCACTGAAACTTGGTGCAGTATTTCACCAGGCTACAATTGTCGGACACTAAACTATATAAGTATACAACAACGTTCACGGTTATACATTTGCACGAGATACGAGAAAAAGGGGACTGGGGTTTTCCTTTGTTTTCAAGTCACGAGCATGTGTATACATGAGTGTTTGTTTCCTCGAAAATTTTCTGACCTACTTGTTTTTTTATTTTGTTTTGCGTACCGTGTGTAACATCTTCGAATGACCTTGCCATTTTGTAGTATTATAATGATTGTATTTGACACGCGTCAGCAAAGGGTGATACTTTGTGTATACAAGTGTGTGTATAAGAGAAAAAGAGAGGCGGAAAGTCAAAGGAGCTTAGTGCAGAATGAGGGTGAGAGAAAATTATTTGGCTTTACACTCTCCCTACCTATACTGATTCTGGAATCTCTGCAATGCGCGCAAGCCTCTCTCTCTCTCTCGCGTGTGTATGTTTACGTTTAAACCGAACTACGCGATGCGTGTGTATAGCCGGGACGACCGAAAAATGACTTTTCTTGACAGAAAATCGGCCACGACCGACTTTTCGATGGTCACACACGTGTATACACACACTCTCCGCGCTTAGGGAAAAAAAGCCACGCCGCTCATCATCCGTTTCTCTTTTCAGGTCGCGTTCGCATCAACACGCGGAGCTTTACATGTGCTACACCACGCCGGTCTGCCGTGAGCGGCCCAATTGACGATGTAGAGAATAGAAGGCCTTTTAAAATTGGTGGGTCAGGCCCATCGACGAAGAGGGTGTTCATGACAATATTATGTACCGAGAAAGTGAATATTACGATGGAGAAGAAACGTGGAGGTAACCCGACTATTACAGAATGTCGTAAGTATGAGTACTGGAAAACATGATAATAAGGAAAATTCATTGTAGAAAGAAGATTTTGGAAAAGTCTCAATTGATCCAGGGGACCTAAAAGTTTAATCACCTTTCTTCTGTACCAAAGGACGTTCCATTCGTGCCTGAAATTACTGCAAGTTACGTGAAATGTTGAAGTACGGCGTCCTGGACGAGTACTGTGCGTGAACAGGTAACGATATTATGCCATATTTAGCTCACACGTAGGTAAGCGTGTATAATAATGCCGGGAGATGACGAGCACGCACTTGTGTAAGTGTATGTGTCTACGTGGAGGCAAAGCACCGACAGCGCGTGCTGCAGCTGCTGCCCGGTATCGTCGACGCACACCGCACGAAGTATTACAACAAAGTCGTGGTACGCGCGGAGGTGTTCTCGACTCACAACTGACGCTCACCACAGCTGTAACTACAAACTTGGCGGGCCCGTCGCCAACACAAATGTACACGAACTTACGAGAGCGAAAAGGATAAAACATTCTACTCACTAGGTGTGGGTGCGGGTGTATCTATATATATATACACCGATATTTACCGATGATAGCTTATGCTCTGCGGCGTTATGTATAACGAAAAGCGCATGCGCCAAAGTTGGGAAGGCCTGCTCTGTTCTGTGTGCTTCGATAACAAAACATGGCGATGATGATTATATGTGCCCCTCTACTCTCATACGTGGTAAACTGTAATGTCTCCCACCGACCACCAAGGGTATATACTTATCCGAATGTCTTTTCTCCATGCGATTCTCCGCTCGTTTCATTTGCGGGACAATAATCGCTCGACGAGCCTGCACTATTCATTCGATTCTCGAGAGTCTCCGTTGGGGTTCTACAGTTTTATATCTACTCTCTAGAGTCAAGGACGAGGGAGGTTTAATGATATACCTACTCGGGTACGCAATCTCGCAGATTTTGCGTGTGAATGGCGAGCTGTGGCTTACAGAGTTTGCGCGCGCGTCCTTACCTGCGCGCACACAGAGTCATGAATGAAAAGATTCCTGTTACTTTTTGACGGTTGTTTTTTTTTTTTTTTTTTTTTTTTTTTTTTTTTTTTTTTTTTTTTNTTTTTTTTTTTTTTTTTTTTTTTTTTTTTTTTTTTTTTTTTTTCTCTCTTTATTTACTGAATTTATTGATTGTTTGATTGTTACCAGTGCTGAATCGAGAGATCGAGGCAGTAGCAGAACGACAACAACGAGCCCCACGCGCGTGTTGCGGTACTACGCGTTTCTTTTTCTTTTGTTTGTTATTACGTAGAGGTACACGGATGCGCGCGAGGATGGTGACGACGACGATGCGTTCGAGCCGAGGAAGAGGCGAGAATAACTGACGCGTCGCCCGATGCTGTCGGCCATTTTTATACAGGCCTGGGGACTACTCGAGTAAATTGACGAAACGCCCGCTTCGTCACGTAGGCACTTGATGTTCGAGAAACTTCCATTGCTTGCGGGGAATAATGGCACCTGTATTGTGGGAAAAATATTATTCATATAGCCATTGTGCTTGACACTTCCGTTGATTTAACTCTCTTGCGTTTCAAGAGAGCCGAGCCTCTACGTTTTCACCTAATGCATGTATACTAAATCATTACGACTCGTCGATATTTTGCAGGATGTTACACGAAAAATTGTATCATGTGTGTATATATTTATATGCATATGTATACTTGTAAAGTACAACATTAGTGAATAGAGAAAAATAATTTATTATTGAAAGAATGAAAAAAAAAAGCAATAATTATGATAATTATTTACTTTTGTCATTGGACGCCGAGCGACAGAGAGATTATACAGAGCATTGATTTTCACAATATTGCGTCAAGTTGTGCTTCCTGTGTGTTTGAGCCCGTTGTTCGATCATCATCATCGTCATCGTCATCATTATTTATAACATTATTTCTCGCGTATCGAACAACTGCGCAACAATACAGCCAACCAACAGTACAATATGGATGAAAAAAAAAAAGAGCAATTGTTTTTATCTTACAATGGTTCAAGGGTAGAGTCCAAAACAAATTTTACAAACAAATTGTCACACATCGACAAATAAATTTTACAAGAAAACAACAAAAAATGGATGAATTTTTTTTTCTTTTTCTGTTTTTTATGTACAAAAATACAACATTACACACACACTCGCGGCCTGCACCTTTGTATACTCGTTACGTGCACCTTGGAAAAAAATTTCGCCCCAATCGCGCCGACGATCCCGAACCTTGGGATAAATCGGCGAGAAAAACACGGGGAAAGGTCACGGCGCGCGTTTATCGCGGCAATTCGGGCTAATCGAGCCGCGAGTCGCGACGACAGCTTGGAAAACCAGGAGCGGTGACGAGACGCGTCAAGATGGCTTCCCGAAACTAATGGAGGCGCGCACCACAGCCCGGACCTCGGGGAGAGACGACGGAGCGGATGGTCAAGACCCGCTGGCCGTCACCCGGGGGGGAGATGTGCCTCGCGGAGGCTCGTCTCCTTGGACACAGGACAAACTTCGTAGGACGCGCTGGCGAACGATGCTCGTCAAATTAAAATATGTATTTTTCTTCGAGTTTACGCGCGCCTCGGCTCTCCCTCTCTTTGGACACAAGCTCGTAGCCCCTATAGAGACACCTAGACGTGTATACATATGGACATTGGATCGTCCCCCGCGGATGGTACTACTCTCCCGGCTTTTCATTTTACCCGCTTGCCTTGTTTTACACGGGACCCTCGGCGCTGCTGTCCAAATTCCTACCCTCGAAGCTTGCCGCGTTCAACATCTGCGTGTGGTTTTACAAGGGTTCTGCAGCGCTGCTGTGGATGACCCGTCGCCCTCCGATTCGAAGCGCTCCGGCCGAAACTACGCTAGTCAGCGTTTCCTGTACACGGCCACCGGTGATTGGCTGCGCTGTGCTGGCGTCCTTGTTTCTGACCAATCGCAGGTGAATCGCGGGGAAACCAGAAGCCGAGGAGCCGTCTCGAGAGCGCGCGAGATTTTTAAAGGGCCCTCCCTTCTGCGGCAACTGATACCACATATAAGATAGGAGCGTGCGAATTTTTGAGGAAGTACCGGTGATTGGAAATACCGATAAACTGATTCGGTTACACAAATGCTGAAAAGTCAAATAAAAGCACCGAAACTCCACTTACGCGAGACTTGTTTACATGGAAATATAAATCGTGACAAGGGCTGGTTTTGATGTTTTGCATCGACTATTTATTTGAATGGCATCAAATGTACGAGTACAATGAAATTACATAACTGGACGAAGTACATGGATTTCAAAAACCGATGCTGCTCTCTTTGGTGCGACGTGAGAAACACACCTCACATGCCTGACTTATCGAAATATCAAGCGTTGGCAGCATGACAAATGAATTTTAATAAAAGTTCAATTTTTTAACTCGTCCGGTTGGATACATTTTCCACAATAACATACATATGTCCATGTGTGCTGATTAAAACAGTACACGTCAGCGTCTCATGTCCCGGAAGCTTACTATCACTTGGTAAGACAGAAACCTAGAACGAACAGCCAAACAGATTCCCGAGTCTTGTTCGAGAGAGCAGCATCAGTTTTGAATCTTGAGCATATTTTTTTTAAAACACCCTTGACATCAGTATTGTTTGATTGTAATCAAAGCGATCTCTAATGCTACAATTATATCAAGTATATGTATTTTGAAACTACGCCACACGTCGATCCAAAAGAGTCGATGATATGTTTAGCAAATCTTGTATGAAAAGTTCTCCCTGGAAGAGAAAAAACGTGTACTTTCGTTTGAATCTCGACTCGTACCTCGTGAATTCTCGATAAATCCCTGTGGGGGAAGACAAAATATTAGGTATCACAAAGCATCCTCGATACTCTTGCTCTTGCCAAAATCTCAACGAACCATCGGGCATCCAAAGGTTTATCTCTTGAAAGCAAAGCCTTTCCTCCTACTCTTGGTGTCGACGAGCAGCTGCGCCTGTCTCTTGATGGTACTCCTCGACGGTATGTCCTCCTCGTCCTCCGAGGGCTGAGTTTGGGCCGCCGGAGTCGTAACGGTAGGAAACAAGAAAAACAGCGGCCGATCATCGACGCTTACCGACTCTTTTGTCTGCTCCGACGATGCTCCCAGGGACAAGGCTTCCATCTGTGTTTCCAAAAAGTCAACGAAACTTTCAAATGTTACCACCACACGAAAACCCCACCTTGTCGCTGAGCATCTGGTCCAACAAGTCGTTGTACTTGTCCGAGCCACCAATGTTCTCGATGAACTCGTTGACGTTGTTGTTCAGCTCGTCCAGCAGTTCCATCGAATCCGGCACTCCAGTGGTTTCGTCCTCCACAACCGCCACACCGTTTTCCTCCTAAAAATAAAACAAATCAAGACTCAACACCGGCGATTTTTTTTTTTATGCAGGCTGTACAATTACAAATACGTCGGTCTTCTCGGAGCGGAGTCTTTGGTAAAACGCGTAGAGGAAGCGTCCGATGTTCCTCAGCGACTCCTGGAGCTCCTCCCGCTTCGCCAGCGCGTCTTCCTCCCTGCGTCTCTGCTCCTCTATCTCCCGTTTCAATCGATCTGACTTTTCCGCGGTCCTGAAACAACGACCGAACCCTCAGGTGCAACTAAAGCCAGACTTGGGCACAATTAGCTGATGGTATTTTATACTTTTCAAAGGAAACTTTTTTTCTTTTTCTTTTCTTAATAAAGTGCAATTGTTTTCGGAGAAGAAAGAAAGGAACTTTTCATTCGTCACTAAGTTACAATACTGAAAAAACAAAACGTTTCATTCTTCTAGCTGGTACTTAATTGGAAAACATTTTGGATATGTAACTAAGTGTTCAAATACTTTTTTAAAGACGTTTACCATTTTTTTTCTTGTCAAAATTTGAATGCATTGGTTTGGCTGGAAAAATGTTCCCAAGTACTGGATTGTAAGTACAAATAACAAAATTTTAATCGGCATCAATATAAGCCTTGCGTTTTCAGCAAGAAATTATATTTTTTTTTAATTGAAAAAAAAGAGTATCCGTGCCCAGCATCGACAATGTATCCCTATTGGCTTACTGGTCGGCGTCCTTGGTCTCAGAGAACTTTTGCATCTCAATCTCGGCGGTGAGCTGCTGCCTCTGCTTCTCGAGCCGCATCTTTTCCTCCTCGGTGACGGCTTGCATCTTCTTCAGCTTCTCCCGAGTCGCCTTCTGGGCCAGAAACCTGTCCAGAACCTCCTCCGTCTTCGACACCCCGGTGGCGTTGCGCAGTTTGACAAACACCTCCTCCAGTCTGTCGATCTCGCTCCGGGGCACGTCCCTTGCCGATTCCGGGGAGTCGGGCGCATAGTCGTCGTCGTCCCTCGGCGCGTTGGTTCTCGTCGTCGAGAACATGTGGCGCTCGATGCGCTCGAGCTCGAGTTTGCGCTCCTCCACGCGTTTTCTGTGAGGTGCAATGGGGTGAGTTTTTTTTTTTTTTTTTTTTTTTTCTTTGGACCCAAGTTTTTTCGGGATGCGAGTCTTCACCTGAACTCTTGTATCGCGCTTTCGCGCTCCTTCGACGTTTGAATGGCCTCGATTTCCTGCTTCGTCAGCGCCTCCCTCGTCGCGTCTCTCAGCTCCATTGCCTCCACCTTTACTTTCTGTTTGGAATAAATTGCGTATGCGAAATTTGCGAACGACTCGGTAGTTGCATATAGATACATTTTTCGCTGATCAAAGTGGTTTTTTTTTTTCTTAATGGTTAATTTTTTTTTTTAATTTTCAGTGGCTGCTGTCTTCTATAAATACGATTTTGCCATCGGTATTTTTTTTTTTCTCGTTTTCGTTCACAGCCTGATTTTAATACCTACCGAGGGATCATTCATTTCTATGACACATTCTGATTTACCGCATATTTAAAGCCACGCATAAACATTAGGGTGTACTTTTTTCCAAATTCTATTTTTTTAATTTTATATACCTATTGAAATCTCTTGTTTACATCCTAAAATTAAAATTCTTAATTTAAATAACATGGGATTTTCAATGACTCCATAAAACAATTTTTTGAACCCCTTCTAATTGTTACGAATTTGCTTAAAAATTATTAAATCACATTGAGTAAAGTTGAAGCTGTTAACTAGATTTTTTAGCGAATTTTTTTTCTTTTTTTTTTTAATTGTTAAAATTATCAGTTAAAAAATTGAGCATTAAATGAGTCTAAAAAAAAATAAAAATTGTTTACTACATTTTTTTAAAGAATTTTTTTTCTTTTTTATTCAGTTAAAATTATCTTTCAAAAAATTGAGCATTAAATGAGTCCGAAAAAAATCAGTATAAAGTTTTAACTCTACTCAATCTGATTTAATACTTTTCAAACAGATTGATAATCATTGGGTCGATTAAAAAAAAAATGTATTCCTTACGATTATTAAACACCCCCTAGTGATATCAATGAAAAATCAAAATGCACTTGGTAAAACAGTTGATTCAATTTTCATCCAAGTTTTATAATTGGAAAAGAAAAAAAAAATACCTGCAGTCGCTTGATTTCGTTTTCTTGCTCGCGTATGCTCCCCTCCAACTCGTCGAGGCAAGACACGTAAAACGAGGCGTCCATCTTCAGACTCGACCTCACGGATCGGTACTTTTTGCGCACTGTGTCCGCCTCCATCTGCATCACGCCCACTCGGTGCAGCTGATTCTCCAGTTTGACGATTTGCTGGACACAAAAACGTGACTAATGGATGAAAAAAAAAAAATCTAAACTAAATCATCAGTTCAAAAAACCTTTTTCAATCGCCGGCTCGGCGGCTTGGTTCTGCCGCTCTTCCGCGGCTTCCTACCCATCAGCTCCTCGTACTTTTGCAACAGCAGCGACAATTGATTTCGATGCTGCGAACGAAATTTCATTTTCACCAGTCGAACCAACGCGCGTCGATTATTGCTCCTCCTTTTTTTCCTACCTTCTCGTTTCTTGTTACGGATTACTCGGAAAAATAAATGGCACAGCCTACCTTTGCCGGGTGGGGAAAAAACCGCGCGATTTCGCGATTCATTAAGCCAAATGAAACGCGCATTCCGTCGTCTCGACGCGAAAATCAATTAAAACCGAGTGCCACCGACCTCGTTACTCCCCGAGCTGTGGCCAAGAGGAAAAGGACGTCGAGGGTAAAAAAAAAAGGAAAAGGAAAAGTAAAGGCTCGCGCGCATCATCGAAAAACCAAATCCACGCACGCGCTCGCAATGAGAAATGAGGGAAAACGTGCCTTGTTGCTCCGGTATTTGAGCAGGTCGAGTTTCTTGCGCAGGCGAATGTTGTCCTCGTCGATCGTGGCTACGGCCTCCTGGAGGTTCTGCTTCTTCGCGCAGCCGGAAGCCTCGCGTCGTAGCAGAGGTCCAGCACGTTCGCTCGCCTCGACGTCCTGTTGGTGGTTGTGGGCGTTGACAAATACTTTGTTACTTTAATGCGCAAACTGTTACGTATAGGTTTTTTTTTTTTTTTTTTTCTTTCAGCGCAGTTATTGCTGATGAGCGTGGGAAATGTTTGATACAGGGTACATGCGATGCATTGAAATTCATGGGTGTGCTTATTTTCGTGTGTGGATTTGACATTCATTAGGGGCGTTTGCAAAAAAAAGTAAGCGAAATGTGCCCTCGTTTAAATTTCAAAACACCCTTCAGGTATATATATTTTATGGTACGAGCGAGCATCTGAGGCATTTCTATTGATGTGGCATTTTTTTGCTAAACTAGACTTGCCGGGTAGATGTAAATTAGATCCGACGATAAAAATCTATTCGCATCAGGCAAACAAAGTTGTCTTACCTGTGGGAGTGGGATATATTTCTAGGGATCTAAATCAATCATAAATCAAATTCAATTTACTTCCGTCGTTGTATCGATCATCGAGTGGTTAAATAAAAACGTTACAGTGTTAGCCTTGGCGAACTCCACTTGAAGCTCCTTCACTTCTTTTTTCAATCGGCCGATGCGCTCGGCGCTCTCCCTCTTCTTTGCGTCGCATTCCTCGAAATTCGCCTTCCGCTGACCCTCTGGAAGAATTGACGCACCACGTATCGTGTATTATACACCCAAATTTGGCTAATATACTTTCAATGAAGGGGCTGTACATGTAACAAATTAAGTATCTGTTTTTAAATATGATTTTTAGAAGATTGAGAATAATTGGTTGACAAAGGAAACTTTGTATAGGTAGTTAACATGTTGAAGAAAAATTCGCTTCCCTTACGAAATCCTTACTTTTTTTAAATTACCAGGTATATTATTGTTATTATTTATCTTATCACAAAAATAAATTGAAGGGGTATACTTTATTCAAACTTGATTTGCGATCTGGTACATGGAGTTTTGAGGTAACATACAAATGTCAATGCAACAAAACAGCTATACAAAAAAAAAAAATTTAATGAATACAGTAAACAATGGTCCTCAAAATTGGGATTCAAAGTAGTATAAAGTACTTTAAAAGGACCCCTATGGTTCCCTTCTTGGATCCACCCTTTGGCCAGTCAACGTCTTTAACGAGTCATTCCTCAGCGTGAAAGTTCTTCTTTTTTTTTTTCCTCATTAGTGCAAAAAAACAAGGATGAGACATAAATTGCCACCGTCCCATCGATTCCCACTAAAAGAGCGAACATGACCAATGCCCGTAAACATCAGCTGACAATTACACAAGTCCCCCGACCGATCTCAGCTCGCGATCCCGTTAAGAAAAAAATTCAGCAGCCCAAAAAGTACCACACGCACACACGATCCGTACACCATCATCGAGTATAGATCCGACAAAACGCGCAGGCCGCTCCGCTCAATTTTCTCGTCATTCCTCGTCCAAAGAAACCCGTTATCAATTACTCCGATTCGCGCATCGGCTGTTGCTCGCGTCTTCCCTCTAAGTTTGGATTTTTCGTTACGTGCTGAGGTCGAGAAGGTGGGGGATACGAAGAGTCGATCGAAGCCGAATTAATGGGACCAATTAAACGGAATCATCGTTCCTGTTAAAGAGCCCAGGCGAGTCTTTCGGTGGCATAACGATCATGTCGCGTTTAAAGAGCCGGACAAAGTCGCTCGTCTCCTCTTTTGGGGTGACGAGAGCAGCAGCTGATCGATGCCCCTTTTTTTCCTCTTCCTCGTCCGACTTGCCATGCAAACATGTTACACGCGCATTTAACCTTATTCGGGAACGACTCCGCGTTTCCCCCCCCCTTTTTTTTTCTCTTCGATGCTCCTGGACTTTAACTCGTGTTCGTAAAAGCTGCGCTAATTTTTTTTACCTCCTCGCGTCGACGTCGTTGTTAAGGAGAGAAACGAGCCATTTGATTCCCGAAAAATGCGCGCACGTGCTTTCGACAAGCATTTCATTTGGAGACCCACGCGCGCGTTCACGCTTTTTGTGGCGGGACCTCGATCTCCATAATACATGTCCCAATGAAAGACCATTTACATGACGTTTTTTCATACCGACCGTGTCTCACAAATTGCGTCTCCTTATATTGATATTAATAAGTATTTTTCTTCGACACACATTGTTTTTGATCGATGCACGCGGTGCAGTTACTAATGAATTTTTTTAAACCATACTGCGCTACTCGAGCATTAAATTCAAGCTGGAGTGTATTATATACACAAACAAGTAGGTCACAACGTGTTTAAAGATTTGTCAAACTACTCACCCGACAGTTGTATTTTCTTTTTGATTTCACCGATTTTTTTATTCAACGCATTTAATTTTCCATTGCGAGGCACCGGTGGAGCCGACATTTTTTCCACGTCACTGTACAACACCCTTCCGCTGTCTCGTGTAGTATTGACTCAACAACTGCACTACCCGTAGCTACTCCCGCTTAATTTCAAGTTACCACCGAGTAGGTATACGTTTATTATCACAAGATGTGATGTAAAAAATTCAGTCGTGCAATTATTGTAGGGAAAAAAAAAATCTCCAGCTGTAATTAAAATTCATGATTCACATTTGCAAACGACATACTTTCCATGCGCGTGCAGTTACAATATTATTCTCGCTAGATTTTCCGTTGAAAAAAAAAAAAAATAAAATAACGAACGGTACACCTGCGATGTATGTCTGTAACCCTTTGAAAACGCAACTCGTGCGTATGTGTATACATACACGCGTTGTACAGCTAGTTGCGCGATTATCGCATGGAACGTTGAATTGTATAATTCCACATTTATATTCGTTAGCCGATCGCGCTTTGAATTTCGCGCCTCTCGCGCATTTGCCTTCTTTAGGGGTGAGGGGGGCTATTAATTTTAGCGTAAGGTCAGGCTTTTGTTGGTGCATTTTTGTCTGATTAATCAATCTTGGAGGATCTTTTGATGGGAAGAGAAAAATAGAGGATTGATGACTCGATGCTTTATTTTAATGGGTGCTTGTGATGCTTTGTCGTAAGTTCTCTTAACGTTATTGGCGGTATTTTCTTACAAAAAATTTTTCGATGTTTGAAATTAATTATTTCTTTTTTCTTTTTGTGGCACACAACTCGAAAGTTATTTTTAATTAAAACTGATTTGAACAACCTGAAATAACACTCAGCACCATATTTGCTTTTTTTTATAAGAGTTATTTTGATAAAAATTACAAAGAAACGCCAATAGCAAATTATTCATCACTACTTTTTTCGGGCTCTGTGTGGTATAATAAGCTGATCTGTAGGATATTGAAGTGTAAGACACAAGTATTTATTTATTTCCAAAATATTAAACTTAATGGATAGCCATACAAAGATTAAATGACTGGTTTGTTTGGTTTAATTGATATAGTTCTATTATTGCATAATTAAAAGCAGTTGCAGCTGAAACATTTTTTAATCATTGATTTAACGGGAATAAACAATATCTAATGCAACAAATCGTATAACCTGACTTTTATGTATTTTTTTAACGCACTTGAGAACAAAATTTTTACTTTCCTAAACAAACTGCATTTTTTCCGAAAAACATTTTTATTCAACAATATTTTAATAGAACCTTAAGAACATTTTTTTCCGGCATATAAGTGCAGCACATTTTATAGACATTAATGTTTATTATATAGTATTTTAAATGAAGTGTTTAAATACTTAATCAAACACATTTACTATTTTTCCTTTCAAATAGCATTGTATCTTTTTTTCTAGATAAAATTTTAGGCGTACTGAGTTATAAGCAGTAATTAGCACAAATAAAGCATTAAATTTTCAACAAAAAATTGTATTTAAAAAGTCTAAAAAATTCTGCGTATAACATGTATTAAAACACTCTTTACTTTAAAGATTTCTAACTTGAAACTTTTCCATCAAAATGTAATTTAAAAAAATGACCAAATAAATGAAACAGCATATCGCATATACGTACACCAAACGAAGCAACGAACCGACAATTTCTCTCTTTTTTCAAATCAAAAGAAACTACTCCCGCATCATTAAATCAATTTCCCACGACATGTCCATAATAAAAAGCCTACGCATACTTGGCTCGAAAAGAAAAGTCTCCCATCTCCATTCGTCGAAAGAAACGAAGGAAAAAAAAAATTGAGAAAATCCTCCCCACAAGAGCCATACCCGTGTGCACAAAACCGAAAAACCCACACCCCAATGGGGTAGCTTTGAAAACGCTCCCTCCGTCTTCCTCCCCATAAAATGTATACGTACAGGCCAACAA